GCTCTTGTTTTTCATATGCATGCACAAGGAACATAAAGTAGCAGAAGGAATGGAAAGTATGCCTGCCCAGGCTGCAGTTTTGCTGTTCTCTTCTTGTTCCCATAAATTACTTGTACCCTGTATTTAATGTTGGACAGAGAACCTATAGTTAAGCACATGCTGGGTTTGTCTACATGAGACCATTTACTGCGCAGTAGACTAATCTGCTCTGCAGTAAAGCACCACTGTGTAACCATGTGCAGGAGCTACTGCATAGTAGATTAGTCTACCGTACAGTTTTCTACGACTTGTACATACAGGTAGTAGATTTACCATGCAGTAGCTACTGTGCAGTAGCACAGTTACATAGATGACCGGGAGCAAATTGCTCTTGGACAGCAGGGGGCAAGAGAACGATTCCTTCCCTCAGGACCTGCCTGCTGCCGGGACTGGAGCCAGCTCCGTTTGCAGGCAAGATCCCAGCCCCCAGCTTGGATCTCAGAGCCGGGGGCAGAGCAGAGCTGCCTGCTGCAGGGGCAAGGGGACATTGTCCCTGCCCCAGCTCCATGATTGGATCTAGCCACGGAAGCAGGCATCTCCTGGGGGCAGAGGGCAATGTCCCAGCCCCCGGGAGCAGAGCTGCCTGCTGTGCGGCTAGTGGACATTGTCCTGGCCTGGCTCTGCAATCAGAGCAGGGGTTGGGCAGCAAGCAGCTGCCTGGGGCAGGGGTGGAGGTAGGAGGCAGCTGCTCTGGAGGTGAGACAGCTCCCCTGATCCTGCAGAGCCCAGGCCTGACACAGATGCCCCCTGCCAGCCTGGGACGGGCACCCAGAGGAGCCTAGAGTTCCCCCTGACTGCCATATAATAGCAGACCATGGCAGGAGTATCTCTTCCCTGAACTGCTCCCATCAGGAACAGATTTGCTCCCGATGGACATATGTGTAGACATGCACTCAGGGAAAGCTTACTGCACAGTATTTTACTATGCGGTAAGCTTTCTGAGCATTAATTGCATGTGTAGATGTGCCCTCTGTGTCTGCAGTACTGTATTGGGCTCAATTGGCACACATGTTGGCTACAGTATAAATTTTAGAAAACTACAAATGGCCAGGTCAGGCAGTATAATCCTCTCTTACCCCTATGCATAGATGTCCCCCGTCTGTACGTTTTTTGATAAGTTACACTGATGTACAGGTAGCCATATCCTCAGTTGCTTCCTCTACAAGAACATAAGAACTGCCATTTAATGGGTCAGACCATAGGTCCCTTTTTCTCAGTCTCCAGTTTCCTGCCCCTCATCTGCTCACATGTCCAGCGTGAGTTTCACTGGGCAGGTCTACTGGCTCCTTGGATTTGTTTGAGGACCAGTGGGCACTGTCCAGTATGCTCTGCTCGGTGTCCCGCCTCAGTGCACTCATTCTGCACCTTTGACCTCCACTTCCATTCCTTTTATATTTTCAGTTGCCCAAAGGAATCAGTGACCACTTTCCCAGTAGCCTCCCTTTCTGAGAGAGGCTTGTAGTTTCACTTCGTGGGCTTTTGGCCCATGACCCCTTAAAGTAGCAAATAAGTTTATGTCATAGTGGCAGAGTGGATGCAGAAACAGAATGAACAGGGTATGATCAGGGCTCTTTCCACTGTTCCTCTCTCACTTGCAGCCTCCAGCATTTAAGGACAAAGAAGTTCCAATTCAGAGGCTGCACCCCTAACTTCTGTGCTCAATGGCTACTGATGTACCTTTCCTCCAAAAATTTATCCAGTCCTTTTTTCAATCTGGTTAAACTGTCAGAGTCAACAACATTTTGTGACAATTAATTAATTACATGCTGTGTAAAAAAGAACTTCCTTTTTTAAGTTCTTTAAACTTGCTACCTACAAGTCTCTTTCATTCTCTGAGCCCTCACACTGAGACATTTTGCCTTAGCAGTACCCATAGGGTAGAGTTTAGACCGAGGTGGGCAATTATTTCAGGTGGAGGGGCGCTTAACAACTTTTGGTGAGCTGTCAAGGGCTACAAGGGTACCTCCACCCCTTGGCAGGTGCCCTGTCCCCTGATGGCCATCTTGGGACCAGAAGTCCTACCCCCTAACCCCTGGCCTTTGCCACCAGAAATACCCACCTTGTCCCTGGAAGTACGCCTTTTGGGAGGGGGGGAAGTTGCCATCTTGGAACCAGAAAAAAAACAAATCATACAGTAAAAATCAAACATCTACTATAACATATTTTAATTTTATTTAAATAATATTTTATCCTGATTTACATGTGTTTGCATAGTGTATATAAAGGTTATTGCAGAGTGGGAGCCCAGCAGGGGGAAATAATGCTGAAAGGAAATCAGCACAGATTCATTGCAGGTAAATCCTGCCTGACTAACCTTGTTTCTTTTTATGACCAGGTCACAAAATGCTTAGACACAGGAGTCGAGGTAGATGTCATCTACCTAGACTTTAAGAAGGCCTTGGATATGGTATCTCATTCTGTTCTCGTAAATAAACTGACAGGCCGTAATGTAGATGATTACACGGTCAGGTGGGTGGCAAATTGGCTTAGGGGTCGCACCCAGAGAGTGGTGGTGGATGGGTCAATATCAACCTGGAAAGGTGTGGGCAGTGGAGTCCCACAAGGCTCGGTCCTGGGACCAGTGCTATTCAGTGTCTTCATCAGTGACTTGGATGAGGGTGTGGAGAGCACCCTGTCCAAGTTCGCAGATGATACCAAATTATTGGGCAAAGTTAACACACCATAGGGTAGGGAATGGTTCCAGGCAGATCTGGACAGGTTGGAAAAATGGGCAGAACAAAATAGGATGCAGATCAACAAAGACAAGTGCAGAGTGCTGCACCTGGGCAAAAAGAACCACCAACACACTTACAGGCTGGGGGATGACCTTCTCAGCAGCACAGCAGCAGCAAGGGATCTTGTAGTCATAATTGACTCCAAGATGAACATAAGTCATCGATGTGACGAAGTGATCAACAAGGCTAACCACACTTTATCATGCATTAGCAGATGCATGACAGACAGGTCCAGGGAGGTGATACTTCCCCTCTATGCAGCACTGGTCAGGCCGCAGTTGGAGTACTGCGTCCAATTTTGGGCACCGCACTTCAAGAGGGATGCGGAGAATCTTGAGAGGGTTTAGAGAAGGCCACTCGTATAATCAGAGGCCTGCAGGCAAGGCCCTAGGAGGAGAAACTGAGGGACCTAGATCTCTTCAGCCTTCGCAATAGAAGGCTGAGAGGTGATCTTGTGGCCGCCTATAAATTCATCAGGGGAGAGCATCAGAAAGTAGGAGATGCTCTATTTACTAGGGCACCCCCTGGAGTAACTAAGAACAATGGCCATAAAGTGATGAAGAGCAGAATTAAGATGGACATTAGAAAGAACTTCTTCACAGCAAGGGTTGCCAGAATCTGGAACAGGCTTTCCAGGGAGGTGGAGCCCCTACCCTGGAGGTCTTCAAGAGGAGACTGGACAAGCACCTTGCTGGGGTTGTCTGACCCCAGCGCTCTTTCCTGCCCAGAGCAGGGGGTTGGACTCAATGACCTACTGAGGTCCCTTCTGACCCTAACATCTATGAAACTCAAAATAAAGTCTTTCTCTTGTATAGTGTGTGTG